AAGAGTACTAGGATAACCCACCGAAAATGAAGCAAGCAAAACTATTGTGTGGCTGTAAAATTACGAACAAATTAGGACTTCGTGTAAAATTTTCCGCGAACAGAACGCTCCCTTCTAACATATCTTGTTGAACTGTAAGTTGACGTTGTTTTAAAGTTAATGCTTTTTGGCTTTCGATGGTATTCCACGATTGGGCTTAATGGTTGCAGTCAGTTGATCGATGAATAAAGGTTATTATTAAAATTCTTTATATTTTTAATTTTAAACAAATAAAAAATGCTTGTTTTTGAATAACTTATAATATGTATGTACCATATACAAAATACAATTTTAATTTTTCACCATAAGAACTTATTTTTTTTGAATATCTGAAATGACATCCAAAAGGATTCAAATAATATGTTTGAATCCTTTAATCGAATAATAAAATAAACAAGCAAAAATAGCAATAAAAAATATATTTTTAAAAACCATAGAATAGACGAATGATTTGAATGTCAATTTGATTTAAATTTCATTTAGGTTGAATCTATATTGCAATCATTTTCATGTTTATTATAGCTAACACGTTCCGGTGGTTCATATGGTTCGAATAGAACAATAAACGTTTGCCTATATTCTATGGAATTGTGTACATGTCTCACATTTAGTTTCTGTATTCTACATAAGTTGAGAATACATACACATAATATTTTTACTTATTGGATCAGGAATTTTAAGGTTTTTAGAATTTGAATAAAATGCATTGCCCGCAACAAGATTATGCAAAATCATTTTGAATTAAATTTCTGTTTGTTGTCAAATTTATTGTGTATCATTTGTACTTTAATTTATATTCGTTTATTTTGTATGTATGTATGTATTTAATTTCAGCTTTTTTAGTTTCAAGCATAATTTAAGTAAAATTTTTGAAATATTTATTTCAAAATTTTTAAATATTTAAAAATGAAGTTTATATTAAATAAGAAAAATTTTGAGGACGTGATTTTTATTGGATATTCTTAAATATTGTAGTATGAACAGATAATAATAGTTTTCTGTTGAAAAAAAAATTTCAACAGAATTTAAAAGTAAATAATGAAATTCGATCTAATATGTCGCATTTTTCGTTCAATTACTCACAAAAAATTTATTTGATTTAATTGATTTTCTCAAATCTATAATAAGTAAGTCAATCTTGCGTCAACGTCAACTTTACCAGCTAACTGTCAAAAATGTTTTTATATTATACTTTCAATAACTTTTTTTCCTTAAAATTTTACAAAATTTTCGTATAATTCTTATATTTCCGCTGGTACGGGTATATTAAGGTACGAGGGCGGGAGTCTTCGCTGACGAATTGCGTTTGGAGGAGTCGATTAAGCTGTATAATAGTGGTGGAGTTTTCCAGGCGGGGTTTTTGCGCTGTTCAAGGCAGAGGAATCAGCTGCAACTACACTGATGTCTGGGTGCCATCAGGGTATCTTTATGATTAATGGGGCAACAATTGAGGACGTCCGGTCCGTTTATGTGTGGTGGTACAGAAACGTGTCGTGGGTACTTTGCGATGTTTATAAAGTTCGGTGTGCCTTTTATTCGATGTTAAAAGAAGGCGCGAGAAGGAGCAAGATTGCCTGGGGGAGTTTGTAGTATGCTCTTAAATTCGCCAAGGAAGTTAATTTTTACATGCTTTTTGGACTTTGTACAATGACAGGGTTCGTCGAATGTTAATTTTAAGACTGTCGATGAGCCTTCTTGTTAGCCTAGTCCAATAAAGTAGCGGGGCCGGCCGGACGACCCCCTCTCTCTTACTACTATTTCTACTAGTATATCTCTGCTAAAATTTTTTTTCATAAAACAGAGAAATTAATCAAAATGCAATCAAAATATTCTAATTTTTTTTCTTAAATCCCTTTTAATTTATTTTCCTTTTGTTTTTTTTTATCAGGGAATTAAAGTCACTCTTACAGTCTTACGCAAAATATTGAAGACTTTGTTATGCTGTTAGTAGATTATAATAAATATGTATATATTTTCTAAATATAACAACTAAACATCAACTAAAAAGAAGTGGCTATCAGAAAAAATTCCGCGATTTTCTTTTTTTTTTTTAAACGACTTTATCGAAAAGTATCCCAACAATGGTTAATAATCTATTTGAATGCCAAAAAATACTGTTGGGATAAAACAATAAGATAAACAGAGACGTAATATTTCTGATATTATTTTATAAAATCTCGTTGATTTTCGGATTTATTTTTATTTTTTTCAAAGATATGAAATGGATTTTGAATAAGGATAGAAAATGTAAAAGTCTGAAAATGGTAATTCAGGGTTTGAGGATGTCAATTATTTATAAATTCTTAAAATTGCATGTGTAATACGAAATGAGTTTCAAAAAAAAAAGTAAATGAAAGTTATTGGCGGGGAAATTCATTGTAGGCCGCTGAGGAAAATTCCGTCACTATAAAACGTTGAACAAATTTCTATAGTTACCTACATCTTGTTTGGAGCATTATATTTTTGTAAAACAGCGCAAAAAAATGTGAAATTTTCACAGTTGACATCATTTTTCTGAACTTGTGTTCAATCATAATAAATATTCCCTTTATACAGTTTTGAATTACCTTCTGAATTGAATTGTTGCACACAAACTTTTCCCGAAAAAAAAAATTGTATTAAATTTATGTACATTAAAATATACTTGCCTAGAAAATGCAAAGAGATTTTAAGTATGTTTGCTGAACCATTTTAAAAATGTGTATCAAATTATTATGATTGCTGGTTATAAAACAATTTTTGTAATCATTTTATACATCTACATTGATATATACATACAAACACACAATTTAATCCCTTCGTTTAGTTTATTTTTTTCTCATAGATCGCGCAAAATTATAAAATCAATTTAAAAGCATTTTAATAATTTTGTGATTTTCCTGTTCGTGATGCTTAAATAATGTAATTGTCAATTTATGAGCAGCAATTATTATTCAATTATTTTGAATTACTTTAAGTTTTATTGAGAGTAAAATTATTTAAAAACATTTTAATTTCTAAATCCCATTAACAATAATTTATTTATGACATAAATTGAGGTGTTGCTGATAATGTTGACAAAACTTGTAAAATTGCGGATAGTGATTGAAATAATAATTATATATTTTTTTCTAATATTTCATAGCGATAAACATTGTATATTTAAATGATTAAATATTCTATTGAAAGCAATTTGAAATTAATTAAATAAATTGTATTCAAAAATGACGGTTTGCAATATTGAAAAAATAATGTTATGGTATAAAATTATTTTATTATTTAAAAAAAATTATAAATTTTGACATTTCATCAGAAATGCTCACATAATGGATGTTGATTAAATACACGGCATACATAAAGGAGGCAATGTACAAAGTGAATTGTGAAATTGACAATTTTATGGAGTGAAATCATTGGAAAAAAAATGTGAAAAATTTGAAATGATCCAGAGGTTCAACTTACACAATCATATAGGTTATTGCGGGTAAGGAGGTATTCTCTTCCATCGGTATATGTTTTAAAGGAATGGACAGTTAAATTTCTAATGACATTCAGTATAAAAGGTTAGGTTGCACGGCCCCCCGATGGGTACATTTAGGTCACCAAAGCCCGTTGTGATGCCGCCGGATCTTCCCTCTCTCCCTCATTAGAACCAGTCCGATTTCCTCAGAAATTAGTCAAGATCCCTAGCATTTACATTCGCTAGGTCCGTAGCACGGCCAAAAAAGTGGGACCCAAGAAACCTCCGCCTGGAGTTCGCCAACGCCGGACACGAGCACAATAGGTAGGTCACCGTTTCTTCCTCCTCCTCGTCACAGCAGCTCCTACAGAGATCGTTTCCGGGGCGGCCCCTCCTCCTGGCATGATCGCCAATCAGACAGTATCCAGTTAAAACCCTATCACTGCGCCAATATGCTCCCGTCGGAGAAATATCAGATCCCTTATGAGACACGAGTCTAGCTTTGGCCACAACTTCCTTGCCGCGTTACACTTAGTTCCATTCACCCATCTCAGATTGGTACGTTCCACCGCTTCACTGCGTAGCAGCAGCCTGTAAGTGCTTTGAGACATGCCCGGTTCTCCTTTTTAGGTAGATCGATGCTCCGAAATTCCTCACGAATGAAAGCACGGGAGAAACCGAATCAATTGATCCCACCCCGTGCCCTCAGTCCGCAAGAATCGAAGCGCGACCTGTAGGGCCACATGACCACTGTGATGCGGCCTCAAAGCGCACTGCAGACTCCGCAGCGACCTGCTTCCTCAGTATATCCAATGGCAACAGATGTAAGAGAATCTCAAGAGCCTGTGTAGGGGTGGAGCGCAGTGCTCCACCAACACACACCATTGCCATCGTCTGAACTCTGCCGATTAATCTCAGGTTTAAGGAAGTACGGAGCCCATAAACCATGCTTGGTTTCAGGCCTCACCTCTTCCTGATAGCCTTCTTGCACGAGTAAAGCGCAATAGTTGCTTTCTTTTCTCTCTACACGATGTTAAGTCTCCAGTTCAGCTTCGAATCCAGAACCAGCCCCAGGAATCTAGCCTCCCTGCTGAAGGATAGGCAAATTCTGCCAAGTTTCGGAGGAGCTACGCCCGGAATCTTATATCTCCTACTGAAAATGACTAGCTCTGTCTTTTGAGGGTTAATAGACAGCTCACAGCCGGCCTTCCAGTTCGAAACTAGGCTAAGAGCCCTCTGTATCAGCCCATTTAGTGCGTGGAGGTGTTTCCCAGATACGGTTCTGCGGCTTCTGAAGGTCAGGGGAGCATTTCGGTTGGTTACCAACTTGAATTCTATATAACGGTGGTTAGAAGAGGAACGATCTTCTGACACTTTCCAATTCCTGACCAGAGCAGCAAGAATGTTCGAGGCAAGAGTTATATCTATAACCTCCTGCCGATTTTTAGTAATAAAAGTGGGCTCTGAGCCTCTATTAGCTAATGTCAGGTTAGTGCTAAAATAAATTCTAAAAGTGACTCACCTCTCATGTTAGTGTCCGAGCTTCCCCAGATTACATGATGCGCATTGGCATCGCTCCCAATAATAAGGCTGGTTCGGGGAGACTGAGCCTTCTCCACCATGTCTTTCAAATTCTCGGGCGGTAGCTCACCTTGGAAGTCGAAGGGCAGGTATACTGATGCCCACCAAGAGATACTGCCACCAGCTTCACGACTGACAACAGTCAAGTCTTCATTGCTGTAAAGAGGTAATAGAAAAGCATTTAAGTTACTTTTAATAAATACTCATGATCTTACCTTCGAACTGCCGTCGCTATAAAGCAGCTTGTATCCTGGCGTCCTCAGCCCGCAGATCTTCCCTCTGCTATCCAGGGCTGTATCTTCTCCGTCCCTTTGTAAGCGGAGAAGGAGCGCAGCCGAAGCTGCTTTAGAATGATAGTGGTTGATCTGAATTACACGAAGCATTACTGTTTTTGTTAACCTCCACAAGCGTCTTATAAGGGTTATGGAGGAGAACCCATAGCTGCCCACAATAGGCAGCGTATTAAATTTATTCAAAAACTCCAGCAACTACAATAAAGGGGAAAAATTATGGATCATTTGATGAAATGAAGATAAAATCTATGTACGAGAGAAAAAATGACAAAGCTATGAATACTAAAGAAAAAAAAAATCAAAGACCAAATTAATTAAAAAAAATGAACTAAAACAAAAATATAAAATATTAGTACTTGTAGGTTTTCTTTCATTATGTAATGTCTACTTTTAATAATAACTGTCATTCCTATAAACATAATGTTGGTAATTTTCCCAATATACAAGTACAGTAATTAATAAAATAAAACATTTTTTATTTCATTTCAAAAATTTAAATTTCGTGTACGATTTTAACATTTTAAAAAATTCATTATTTGTGTTAAAAATTAAAATTTTAAATTGATAAAATACTTGTTATATGTATACTACTAGTAAAGTCACCTGACACAATTTATATTTTGCTATAGCGAAATTCAAATTTTCAGATGTTTTTTAAATTATGAAAGTGGAAAATTTTTTAATTGAATTCATATTGACATAATTTTATCTCATTTAGTGCAATCTCTCATGATATTACGAATAAAATTTATTTATTTCCGCTACCTTTTCTGTATTCGTTTTGAATTAATTTTTATTTTTACTTTCAATTTAAAATATTTTTACTTTAATTTTTTTTTTTCATATTTAATTTCAATTTATTTTATTTTCAATAAAACTTGATATTTTCACTTAATATACATATTATGTACATAAATAGATATTATATACAAAAATTTAAAATAAAATATTCAGAACAGAATTAATAAGCATTGGATAAGGTTTAATGAAATTCTTTATGGCAGAAGAAAATGCAAATTTGTTTGAGAGTTATTTGAATATTAAAAATTAAAATTAATTTTAAGGTATATACAGTGTAGGTTATGTGTTGTACATGTCTATGTTTAAAATATACATATAGTATTTTAGATGAGTACACTGTAATTTCATTTATGACAGCTAGCTAAACGTCATTTTATATCAGTGTATATTAGATTTTATTCGTATATATTTGACTTTTAATACGACTTGCAAATTTGTTTTGTTTTTCTTTCCAAAAATAACAATTTATTTTTAGTGGACCGTTAATTGTCAAGTAAATTATCAATGTTTGTCATTTCGAAAGTACATGTTATACGAAATTAAATCATGACTTAAAACTCTCAATTTCAGCACTTTTAAAAAAAACTGTACAAAATTACTAAATTTTTTTAAAATCTCAATATCTAGGAAACCGTTGAGATTTGGCACCTACAATTCCAAACAAAAATTTTACAAATTTTTGATGCGTTAAAGGATGGTGTATAATAAGGACCTATCATTGCTGCATAGTCTTGTATAGTGCTACAAGTGTTACAAGGAATGATAATAAATCGTTAACGATATTAAACTTTTAAATACGTAAGATGACCTATTGGTGTAGTTACTTTCATTTTTATAAAATTATTATTTGTCGTACTCGTATATGCATACAAATGCACGGCATATTAATTTATTCGTAGATCCATATATGATTATTTGTTGTTATTGCACAATATTAAGATAATTTGGTTATGTTTGTTACTCGTTTAATGTTCCTATGTATTTATAGAAAATATTATCGTAGTGTCTGGAGGTTATCAATATGTATACATATTATGCTCATTATCCTATATATAGATTTTATGATATTTAATTAAAAAATTGTTAATTGTTTGTTAAGATGCCTTAAAACGCTATACAAAGGCTAAAAAGATATCCCCATTTAAAATTGAATTAATTTTTTTTTTTGTGAAATCGACATTAAATTAAAATTTTTGATAATTTGCAACATGGGACTTAAAATGTTTTTTATGTGCATTATGTACATACTTATATTTAAAGTCAAAAGAGTTTAATATATTATGAAATAAAGTATAATCTATTTTTCTTAAAATATTTTATAATTGAGGATAAAAATTAAATTTTACAAAATAATATTAAAATATCTTGTATACGAGAGACCTTTCAGATCTGTTAAAACATTTGTAAATCTTAATTAAATTTTCCGGAAATAAACTTCTCAAATTTATAATTGAGAGATTTATACTCGTATTTATATTTGTTTCAAGACAGTCTTGTTGAATGCACAGGATTAAAATTTCCGAATTTTTTTGTTTACAATACTACCACTATTGAGCACAGTTTTGTGTAAATAAGTGTGTTTACATGAGCAAGGAATGAGATTACATATATAAAGATATTATGTGTTTATGCGCGGTCAGTACCCACATATCAGGTGAAATTTGTATTTCTTAATTTTCTGCTTAATCTGTTTGACTGATTTCAAAAAGTCACTATGTATACTCCACAATAATATTTATCTATATAAAAAATCCATGTAAAGTAAAACAAATTTTAAAAATAAATCTAGAGTGACATTAATTCTTTCTATTTGTATTTAGTAAAGGACGTTATTATCCTTTCCCAATATAAAATCGAATTAAAAAAGAAATAAAAAACAAATATTTTTTCTTTTACTCTTCATCAAAAAAAGATAGGATCCATGTGCTTTTGGAATAGCATATACATGCAAATATTTAATGACCGCATATATACTGAAGTTTATTTAAATTTTTTTAAAAATACAAGTTGAATGATAAAAGAGATAATTTATAATGAGAAAAATTATTGAACCAATAACCAAGTAACTAACTACATACATACACGTGCACTTTTGAAATAGATGAAGAGTACCCGCAGGCAGAAAGAAATTACAAAAAAATTTTTAATTTGTATAAGAAAATTGTGATCAGAGGCAAGATCACAACGGGCGCAAACTAAATTTGCGCCGCCTAGTAAATGCTACAATAACAGCCTTTCCCGGGTTAATGCCAAGGTCCTCGACTTGCGTCCAATCCTGTTCATTGTGTTCAGGATACCCTGCATTCGGTCAGCCACGGCGTCATTGTGCTGGCACCTCACAACAACGACCAGATCATCAACGTAGCCCTGCACATTATACCCGCTATGAGACAGCTTGCACACTGGCCGAAATATTTCGATCCATTTCAGGGTGGGTGCCTCAATTCCCTTGCTTGCAGCCGCCCTCATTATTGATCCAAAAGAGGTATTGTCGAAGACTCCCCCGCCCCAGGAAGGCCCCATAGACTATCTTGAGTGAGACGGTGCAGAGCAATCTCGATAGACATTCCTGCCCGATAGGTGAATTGCTTTCCGTGCAAAGGTGAGGCCGCCTCGGGTGTGGCCCTCAAGTGCACATCTAGCATCCTCTCCATCGACTTCAAGAGAAACGATGTCAAACTTATTGACCAGTATGACTTCGAGTGAGTATCAGGGCCATTGGCCTTCGGTATGAATACCACACTCACCCTCCTCCAAGTCTGTGAAATATGACCATAGCAATAGCTGGCCCTTAATATTTGTGTTGGGAGCGGAATCAAGTCCTCCATTCTCTGCCTACTACTTAACCAAGATTGGTTAAGTAGGAGGCAGAGATCATTGGAGACCTCGCCCAACCTTTGCAGCGATTACCCGCCAGCCCCTCCCTCACCTTATTCCTGTATTTTGACCAGTCGGTTCTTCGGGCCACCCTTACGGGCTCCCTCGGGTTTCTCTACGTTCTCTGGGAGGCATTGCTCTGTTCTCGAGGAAATTACGCTGAGGCACAGATCACCTTCTGATTCCCACCAGTTTGCTGAGCGCCGACCTCCACTGCCACCAGGTCTCTTGTGATGAACTCTGGAATTGGAAAAAGTTTTATAGATTTATTAAGCCACAATGCGGCTCTTGGTATTTCATGTAGATGTGAGAAAACCAACCTACATTTGTTATCCTGCAGGCCTTTGATTTGCCCGCCATAGGCTCATGGTTCCTGAAAGAAGCCTATGTGGAAATCTTTTTTGATGAACCTCCACTTATACAGCTTGAGGCTGCTTTAGCGTGATGGAGGTTCACCTGGATGCACCTTAGCTCAAGCATTAGGTTTAATGACCTCTGATGACCCTGAAGGCATCATAGTCTCTGCCATATGGCTAGTCATCGGAAGTGCACCCACTGCTTTCTTCAGTGCATCCTTGTTGTCAGCCGCAGGAGCCTCATCCTGGTCCATTGGCTGATGTTCTGCCGCTGCCGTTTCGGCTACAGGGGGACCCTTCCTATCGTCCCCATGCTTTTCCTCTTTTTTCCTTCCTCGCTGGCGGAGCTGGACCTTTCCAAAGCTTTCTCAGCCGATGTTTCGGCAGTATGGGGAAGAAACCCCCAAAGACCTTAGCCCTTGATATGACCTCCTCCTCTACTGCCTTCAGTTTTGCTTCTTCCTAGGGAGCTATGCTATTGATCCCTGCTTTAAAACCTATGCGGAACGAACTTTCCGATGTTTTTGTCTGCAGAGAAGAATCCTGTTAAACACTTGAACATAGAAAACAAATAGAAAGGTGGATGGAGTTACAAAAGTTTACCATCAATACAAAGTAATTTATATTCATTACAGATAATAATGTAAATGCCTCGTACAGTAACAGCAAATTGGAAAGCGTGGTGCAATATAAAATCTCTTGGAGTAAATAATAGACGAAACTCTTACATAGGCACCACTGGATATCAACAACAAAATGACATCAGCAAAAACAACTTTTAATGGGCACAATTTAGTTTATAACCGACCTTATATAAAATATAGTGAATTACCACTTCAAATTTTCATTCATTTCATATTTTTAACAGCAATTATTATTGATTTTTGATAAAATTTATATTAAAAGTTATAAATTACATATGGAATCAAAGTACCATCCTTCCATAAACTTAAAAAATTTTTAAATCAAATTCAATATTTAAATAAATATTTAATAATTGTAAAAATTTTCAAGTATATTCTACTTTGATTTAAAATTATAAATCATTTTTATTAAATTTATAAAATTTTATATTTATAAATTTAATTTAAAATAATGACAATAGTCAAAAATGCATAATAATATGATTTCTGACAGTACCTGCTTTGTATATGGCAATAAAAGAGTAAATTAATAAATCCCTTTTATAAATTTTAAATTTAAATGTCTATCAAAAATTAAATACATTTTAAAATAACAATAAAACGAATATTATAAGTTTATTCAAAAAATAACTTTATTCCAATTGAAATTGCAACGATATAGTGTATACATATAATTAAAGTGCGGGAAATTTCTGTCATTTTAAAGTATTATAAACGCGCATTTAAAACAATTTGTGCTTTATTAAAGTGATTGACAGCTCAGCATGAGTTCATAATTATTATTGAACGCAATATGAGTTTGACCCTTTTTTTATTATTAATAAATTGACTGAAGTATTAATAATATTTTTCAGGTTTTAAATAATTTTGTAAATTCATATATATGTATATGTATACCTAGAACAAAAGTTTAATGGTGGCGTCTCTGTTTGACATTATGAGTTAAAGTTACATATGTATGTAAAAAGGAGAAGGATGAGGAATTGATGATTTCATTTGATAGTTTTTTTCACTACCGTCCACATTCCAAGCTTTTATTCCAAGATAATTTTTTGTGTCTTTAATTTATTTACTTTTCTATTAAATATCTTGTTCTTCATAAATTGTCTCAATTGCAATTATATTTTCTCTTTTTTAAACACAAAACCGTTGTTATTCAAACGTATGGTTTGTAAAAAACTCCATTCTCCTTTTACCAATTTTAGGCGAAGTATGTAGTATAAAAAATGATCAATTGAAATACTTTTCGTACCATATGTAATACAAATTAGAAATTTTGCATAAGTTTACGGGAAATGTTCATTGTTGTACATAACAATCTTTGAAAAATTTCACTCCAAAATTAGGCATTAATATAATTAATTTAGTCAAGGTCTTAAAGCCTTTTTAGTAAAAGACATTTTAAATAAATTTGCAGAAATTCGATAGAGCTTCGAACGTCAAAGAATTAAAGGATCGAAAATAGATCTTTTGCAACCTTTTCGTGATAATGTCTCTGAAGTGGTGGAAGTTTCAAAAAATTTATTTCTATAATAAAATGAAATATTAAACAATATTTAGTGAACATACTTGAGTTTCTGTGTAAGAGAAGAAGTACTCCGAAAAAAAAGAAAAACGGGTTTGAGACAATCAATTCGACAGTCCGACATTTTATTGACAAAAGAAGTGATTTGCGATTTTTCTACGTTTACAGAACTTACAAATTGATTTTGATTTAAACACAATAGCGCAATTTTACTGATTTTGAACATTTACAGCTTGTAAGAGTGGGAAAATACGAAAAAATTTTATCATGCAGAAGTAACGTGCAGATTCATATAGTGTACAGTTTCTTTTTTAAATTTTTTTTTTGAAAATGTGTCAAAAAGAACAAAGTTTAATTGATAGATTGTGATTCATTTCATAAGATAGATTATTAAAACATTAAAAAACAAAGAATAATTTTGGAACTGTAAATAAATTAAGGATTTTAATGAATATATCAAGTTTGATATACCGTTTCCAATAAATATTTATAAGAGATCTTCTTCTCTTACATATACATACATAGTTAAGAAGTAAAAGGATATGTGAATATGTAAATTTTGGTTTAATTTCCTGGATTATGTAATGCAAAATTTAATGTACTATGGATTATAATTTTTAAAATGTGTGGTTACATAAGTATAACATTTGTGGTATAGAAAACTTCATTTTAAAAATAATTCAAAAACTGTTATGGGATAGCAAACAAGAAAAATAACACAAAGACTCTTATTAGTTATAAAAAAAATTTATGGTTTTTGGTCTCAAAATTATTGAATAATAAATGTTATTAGAAAGGAGAATGTCAATAAAACTTAATTAGATTGTCAATATTTTCTCTTTGATTTATTTCAAAGTTAAATCATAGAAAAATTACGAGAACAAACAAGATGTAATAAAACGAAAATTTTAATTCTCACAAGATTAAAAATCTAACCAGTGATCTTTTCTTATAATACAATTAAATCTTTTTTTTAAAATAAAGTTTCAAAATTATAATTGTGTTCCGAAATTTTAAACAGTTCTAAACTGAGAATAAGCTGACGTTAGTTATATAGTTAGTTGAGTTATCGATTGAGTTTTCAAATGTGATGTCAAATCGAAATATCAAAATTTTTTATGTTTAAATGTCATTTTAATGTAACTAATTTACTAATGTAACACCAAAATTTTTACAAAAATCAGTCACATTACATATTAGTCGTACCGTTTGTCTATATGCGATTGGTTTGTTACACATGATCGGTATGTTAATTTTGAATTGTTCTGACATCTGATTGTAGCGTTACCAGCAACTCATGATCTTCTTAGAAGTGAACAGTCTACGTCTCCAATCCTTATCATTGATTATATATCTTTAAAAGTATAAATAATGGCAATTTTTATTAGAAACTAATGTCTGATTACCAATTTGGACGTTCTTAATTATGTAACACTCGTATGTCGTGGTAAACTTTCATTTATCTGAAATATATCTTCTCTTTATTCAAACTACATTTCAGATTTGGCTACCACAAATTGTTGTAAGAATGAATTTTATTAGTTACTGCCTAATTTTACTGTGCAATTTCTAAAATTTAGTTTAAATACACACATATAACTTCAGAAACTCTTTAGTAGTATACAAAATTAATGTTATGCTAAGCAAATACAGTTACTTCATATGCCAAACAAGTTTTCTTTAACAGCTATAATATTATTATTATACTTCAACTATAAGTTGAAGATAAAATTGTAAAGTTTTTAGTGTTATTCGTTTAAATTTTATAATTTTTGCAGACAATAACTTGTCAAAAGAATTAAGAGCAAAGGAAAAAAAAAATATTTTTTTTTTATAACAAGTGCATTAGGAGGTTTTCATTAACAAACCTTAAAAAAAAGTTTGTTTGTTTTTTGTTGTTATTTTAAAATTTGTGAAATTTTTAATTCATTTTAAACTTTCTGATAAGTTCATTATTAATGTACAAAAATATTAAATTGTGTAATTACAATATAACTTTGTTAAACTTTTGTTTTGCATATCCTTTTCAAAAAGTATAAACATTTTCATTGTATGTACATTTGGTTT